CTTTTAAGTGTTTTTTCCCATCAAAATATTAATTTATCATTAATAGCTAAATTTGTGAAAACTAAATATATTTTGCATATTAGTTATAAAGGTAATTGTCATTGTATAAAATCTTTAAAAACAAGAAATTAAAATTGAAATAATTCCATTAGTAAGTGAACATTAAATAAAAATAAAATAAATTTTTTCCATAAACTGAAATACAGTATTTTGTTGGTAATGATTTTAGCTGATACTCTGGAGTGCATCCTTCATTTGTTAATGTTCAAGTTTAGCTAAATTTTATCTCATTGTTTGAATTTATAAAATATTCTATATGCTTTAAAATATAAGTAATAATATTCTTTCAGTTAGTTCAAACTTTCACTTACAAGATCTGTCACAAAAGTAAGTGTACTGATTTTTTATTTAATCACTGTGCAGCTTAACACATCATTAATTAGTATTTTCATATTGTTAGATATCTTAGCAGCATATCTAGACCTGTTTCAAGTTGATTAGTTAAGTCAAATGTGCACAATCTCTGTTTGTGTAAGATAATGTTTTAACACATCATTAAATTTGAAATGGAGAAAAATCTCAATATTACACTATCAAGTTTTGTATGAAACTCAAGAAATCTGCAACAAGAACATTTGCAGATTTAACTGAAGCTTATGGAGATGCCACTTTATCAAGAAACATGGTATTTACTGTATATGGAACAAAGATCCAGGGTAAAGCTGATGCTTATTGTTTTTTTTAACAGCCGTAAAATTGTGCACAAAGAAAAAGAATTTTTACCTCCAGGGCAGACAGTTATCAGGCATTCTACAAAGATGTCTTAAAATGACTTCAAAAATGAGTCAAGCAAGTCTGCAGGGACATTGCAGAAGATTGGGTGCTGCACCACAATAATGTGCCTGCTCACACAGCACTATCAATTTGAGAGTTTTTGGCCAAGAAAAAATCCCCACACTCCCACAACCTTCCTACAGCCTGAATATAGCTCTGTGCAACTTCTACCTATTCTGTAAGATAAAATCTAAGTTGAAAGATCATTTTGGGACAGTGGAAAACAATAAAAAAGTTACAACCAACAAACTAAACATCCTTACGGAAAATGACTAAGTACTACTACAACCAGTGGAAAAAACTTTGGAACCACTGTGTGACCTCACAAGGGTCATACTTTGAAGAATATCATTTGTAGTTTGATGTAACTCTTGTATACTTTGAAATAAAAAATCAGTACACTTACTTTGGGACAGATCTCATATTATACATTGAAATGCCAGAAAAACTGGCATACTGTCTAACATCTGGTAGGTCCACCTCCAGACCATAGAACTGCAAAAAAAACAATGGGGCAAAACTCCATAAGCTTTCTGAAGAAGTCTCTTGACAATGAACACCATGACTCCTGAAGAGCTGTCCACAATTCTGTAATATTCATAAATGGTGGATTTCTGCTTTGAATTGAATAGTGCATGAAATCTCAGATGCTCAATAACATTCATATCTGGTGTAAAAGGAGGCCAATTCATAACTGCAAACTTGGACAAATGTTCTTCAAACTATAATTTGGTGGGTGTGGATCTGTGTGCAGGTTTGGTTCAGTTTATTTGGTTATGGGAATGTGACTCTTGGGCAATCTGCCAAGGAAAGATTCCTTCTGGGAAAACTTTTATGGAAACTGGCCCCTACTTAGGTGTTACTAACATAAAGAAAACAGGAAACTCCATGTGGCCGGCCCTTGGTCAAGGCACAAACCCACAACCAATTAATTACCTGTTCAGTGGTTTTATTGACTTGGCCACTGGTGGGTTTTCATGTGCTGGCACATTATCATGTTGGAAAAGGCCAAACCTATCAGAGTGAACATGTGATATGAATGAGTTTAACACATCTGAAAGGACATTAACATAATGTTCACCAATCAGAGAACATTGTAGCCATAGAAGTGGTCCTAAATTCATGCCAGCTGAACATACACCATACCATTACTGAGCTCCACTAAATTAAAATTTCTTGTCAACATGCTGTATCCATTGATTCATATGGACATGGACTCTTCCATCTGCTGAATCAGTTGGAAATACTACTACTCATTTCCACTCTTTCAGTGTCCAATGATGGTAGTCCTGAGCCCAAACGAGGCACAGAGCTCTGTCATGAGATAAGCAATGGCACTTGGATTGGACATTGTCTATTAAAGCCTATCATGCAGGAAAGGTTGTATAGTCTTCATGTTGATATTAGTAGAGACTCCAGTATTGAACTGCAAAGTTATTTGCACCAGTGTTACCTGCCTATTGCTTGAAATGATTCTTGATAGATGATGCAAGTCACAATCATTGAGACTCTCTTGACAGCCACACTGTTTCTGTCAGTTTGATATTTATTTTATTAGAATTCTTGTATTCAAGGTACACTCTTGAAATGTTCATTAAAGAAATACATGCATATTTCTTTAATTGAATTAAATTTTATTGAATATAAAATCTCCACTAAATATATTTGTAAATGGCAGCAAAAGATAAAATAAGCAAATTTCTATTAAGAATTTCAAATATTTGTTACATGATACCTTTTTTATGATTGAGAAGTTTTAAGGCTGTAGTTATTTAGCTTATCATTATTGTAATGAAGGCTAAGGACCATTATAAAAAGTTTTATTTTAAATTNTTTAGCTTATCATTATTGTAATGAAGGCTAAGGACCATTATAAAAAGTTTTATTTTAAATTTTAAAATATCTAACTATAGAACTATAACAAAAAATTCTAAATTATTGTTGAAATTTCTAGTTTTTAGTTTATAGTTTATATTTAAAACTAAATTTTTCAGTTTTAGTTTCCATCCTTTTGTGTTTATTTCTACTCATCTAGCAAAATTGAATATATTATTTATCGTTAAAATATTAATATCAGAAGTAAAAAGTAATTAATAATTAAATTCAAGAATAAAATAGAGTAGAATAAAATTTCTTAACATCAGTCATAGAATAAAATTCATTAACATGTATATAAGCCTATATAGTACAGATATTTATAATAAAAAATACTTTTTTAAAACTAAAATAATGAAATTGAAAATAAATAGAAAAAATTTATTCATAAAGTATTTTACCTAGATTTCTTTGGATGTTTCCAGCCAAATACAACTTCTTCTCTCAAAATGGCAAAATGAGGTTCATGAGTACAAAGACCCAGCATAATCTATTAATCAAATACAAAATTCTCTAAAATCAATGGTTCAAAAAGTTATATACAACTACAATAAAAGTATTATTATTCAGTTTATTCATAAATACAATCTAATTCATCTAAACAAGGTAAATTAGATCAGTCTATCTAAATCTGTAATATTTCTTAAATTAAATGTAAGTATTCATTAACTAGCAGGTAGGCCCAGCGTTGCTTGGGCAAAAAGTAAAGACAGCGAAGATTATTACATTATAGTCAATCTTACCCGTTTTCAAAGAATGCAAAAATTAGGTCCCACTGTTTCCAGACTAATTACAGAATTTTTAGATGGGTTAAAAAAATGTTCAATTTCCTGCAAAAACGAAAAAACTGCATATGCACCTGTAAATCTTGCACGTCATTTTCTCTTAACACTTCCATTGTTGAAACCTTAATCCTGTCTCTCTCCCTCCGGGGGAAGTTTCGAAAAATCCCTTCTTAGTAGGCATTTTCATGACGTACTCTAACTGTGTACCAAATTTCAACTTTCAACTCCTAACCATTTGGGCTCTGCGCTTATTATTATCATCATCATTATCAACCCGTCTCGATTATATATTAGATTCTTTCACATTAAAAAAACTGAATGTAAGATATATGTAGTAACACATAACTATGGTTGATAATATATAAAATAATAATATATATATATTGACTTTATTTGTTTGTTTTATTCTACACCCTTGAACATGCTGATATTTTATATTTATTTTTATACAGTAGAGCATCATTTATCCGAATCAATTGGGGACTGGGGTTGTTTGAATAACTTATTTTTTGGATAACTGATTATGTACAAAAAATATATTAACCTATCCCATGTTGAAATTTTTCTTTGTTGCGTGTCGCTTTATGTTGAATTTTCATCAATGTTAAGCATAACGAAAACTTTTTAAATAATAATCGTGGCTATTGTATCGTTAAAAATTATTTTTTTATTTTGTACAAACAAAATAAATATATTGAAAAATATAAAAACAAAAAAAAAAATATACTTTAGAAGTTGATCTAGTATCAAAAACGTTCAATTCAGCATGACACACAGTCCTCAGAAAAACACTACACAAAAGTGCCAGTGCTGCCAGCTAAAATACACACACCAACAAAAGAAAAAATATTGGAGTAGCCCAAAATATAGCCAAAGATTGCAGCGCCACAGCACTAGCAAAAATTTAAATTTGCCAACTGGAATGCTTTCGAATAACCGACGTTTCAGATAACTGACTTTTGGATAAATGATGCTCTACTGTATTTTCAAGCTAAATAACAAAATACAGCATTTTTGTATTTATTGACAATTTCAAACATGTAGAGTACCAAAACATATTGACAGAATAAGGAGTGTATATATATATAAAAATTGTTTTAAAATACCATATGGAATAAAATAATTATTTTTATTACAACAAACTTTTATATACTTCTATTTTATATCTTAAAGAATATCTAGCTCTAACACTGTTTTGAGTCACTTAATGAATCAACACCAAGTGCCTAAGAAAAATATAGGCATAATATATACAGTACATTGTATGTATGTATGTAAAAAGTGAGAATACACTATATACTTTATATTAAGTATGAATTGAGAAGAATGGAAAAATAATAATAATGCAAACAGATAATATGGTAATATGTTACATACTGTAGCATTGTGGTTTTGATGACATCATGACATCTCATAGGGTCTTAGTTTTTAATCGGTTGGATTAAGCATACTTATTATAGAGTTTGAGATGTTANCTACAGATGTGGGCCATCGGTTGGGTGCAGTTCTTCCAAATTTCTCTGGAGAGCACCTGTTGGTCTCTAACTCCCAGTTTGATGGGCCTGCCTAGTTAGGGCTTATTCTGATAGTTACTGCTCACCTTCCTCTTGTGAATCACGTAGCCCACTGTCGATTTTGAGTACTTCGCTGGATATGTCACATATGGAACAGCCATTTCTGTGATAACCAATGATTACACCTTTTTCGAAATCAGACAGCTTCAAACTGTGTGGCATCTTGCATGCGACTGATACTGATTTTCTTTCTCATTTATCCACAGCGGCCGTGACATGTATTAAGACAGCGCATGTTGCTGTTTGCAGGGGTGTCCAATTACTTTATGGTAGATAGTGTACTATTCTATCCTTATATTTTTTCCATGCATTTCTTATATTTTTCAATAGTTTTACAATTATATGAATTTTTTAATTATACCTGATATTTATAAAATCACTTACAATAATTAATAATCAAATTTTAAGCAAATCAAAAAATACCTGGAGTAATACAATTAGAATCAAATCTTGCTTCATTAGGTAAGGTTTCACCACGTTCAAGTGCTCGTTTCTCTTGTAATTCAGCTTCTTTAGCAGTTCTAAAAATAAATAAATAAATAAAAACTTAATTATTTAAACTATTCAAAAAACTATTTTAATTTTAAGAACTATAAAATTGTTATTATATTTTCATAACAGTAACTTATATAACAATACATTTTACTCATAGCAGTATACTTTCATATTTTGTCAGTTTTATTATACTAATTATGATTGCTAAACATTCTATAAATTATTAGATTGACCTAATAATATTCAGTAAAACAAATGATATTATTATTATTAAGTCAAATGCATGGTTAACTATATTTAAATCATTTTCTTCTTATACAGAATGTTTATATTTATTACAACAATAACTGAATGTAACATTCAAAAGTTATGAGACAGATTTTTTCTCAACATTATAACAATACAACTTAGACTGATAGACAAAAAAGCCAAAAGATATATAATAGCTATGAATCTAAAACTAATGAAGTAAATTCAACCTCATTTTTGAAGTCAAAAATGAAGTTAATTTCAATTTAATGTTTGTTTTGTATTAAACTGACAGTGAATTGAAGCAATACTAATTGAATATACAGCGAAACCTGTTAATTTAAAATAATTGGAGATTAGAATAATTTAAATTAGGAGAGTTCTTTTTATGTCATCCAAAAATAAATATAATACATAATTAAAAATTTATCCATTTACGTAGATTTTATTACTACTTGAACACACAGTACATTTTGCTCTCAGAGTATGCTAGATACAAAATAGAGTAGTGCTGAAATAGTTTATGCTACTGTAATGACAACAACTTACTCAGAGTCTAAAGGAGACAAAATAACTTGTGGATAACATTCTGTGCTAATCTCATCAGATGTTGGAGATAATGATATGGCACTACTTGTGCTTGATTGAGAAAAAAATGGATGAAAGTATCTGCTAATTTTTGTTTAATTTTTTCAATATTTTTCTAACTTATGAGAGTCTACTATAGTTATCAATTTTACATATAAGTTCGAGTTTGAAAGTATGAAAATCACATGATTTGGTAATAATGTTGTTTGAAATGACAAAATATGCATTTAGTAATTCACACATTGAATAATAATTCTCTTTTAAGTAAGAGTAAATAAATAAAATTGTAAATCTAGCATTTGTCATATTTAATTGAGCCATTTACAAGACAAGTTGATTAACTTCCTTGGTTTTGTGAAAAATGTGAAAATAATATATCCTTGGAATAATCATTATTATTTTATACATCATTAATAAAAGCTATAACTGTAATAATACACTCTACAATGTTTGTTTAAATTTTTAAAAAAATTTTAGAAAATAATGTATATTATTTTATCAATTTCTCTACTTATCGTTTTGTGGAGCTAATTGATTTAGCAAATGAGCAGCTCAATTACATAAAAATTGAATAATTAAAACTGAAAAATTAATTTTGCATATTAATGAATATTGTAGTAAAATGAAAAAGTAGCCTTAATTCTAAATTTAATATTTATGGGAAAGGTCTTGTTTACAAGTATATATATATATTCATTGGCCACTTATGAAAGTGGCACCATTTCAGCAAAGTGTGCTATATCAAAGCTTGATTATATTTATTCAGAACTTAAAATTTTCAAACTATGTAGAGTCTAGCTTCATAAGATCAATTTAAATAAAAGAGCAAACTGTTTTATACATATTGAAAAATTTAAGTAATAAACAATTTGTTAAAAAAAACACATCAAATAATATATTAATTTTCATTATAAAAGACAGTAAAATTAAGATTGAATTTACTTTATTATAGATTTAAAAAACCAGAATTTGGTTAAGAAATTCATACTGTAAATATAGTTTCTAAATTGAAATATTTTATTATAGAACTAAAGTTTTGTTATATTTAACATATAATTAATCTGGTTTTAAGTTTATATTTTTTATATAAATCATATGTAATATTAAATTATTAATATAATATTTCCATTAATAACAATCTAAACTAGAAGTCATATTATTTTAACTGTTGCTTCATGAAATACTTATATATTACTAATTTTTAATTATTTACTTATGTCTGTTATAATTAAAAAAATATGAATTTAATTAAGCAATATGTTATAATTGCTTTACCGAAATCTTCTAGCTCGTTGCTGATTCATTTTAGCACGAGGTGCTACTCCATCAACTGCCATGAAGAAAACTCTTTTAGGTTTTATCATCCGAAATAAAAACTGAAAATATTTAAGTATAAGAAATCTTAATTTTAAATGAATAAAAATATAATACATTTTTATATAATAACAAAATATTTATAAATAACTTTTAAAAAATATCAAGTGTAATAAACAACATATTTTATCATTATAATACACTCAAGGGATATCTTAATTGATTTTGATTTGAAACCTGGAAAAAAATTCAATTCTCTTTTTACACAATTTGTTTTGATCTAACACATTTCAATAAATTTGCCTTTTTAAAAAATCTCCATTTGATTTTAATTCTAAGAACTTGCATTTAAGGCTGCTGATCATACTTAAATAAATTTTAACACGACTATTTTTTATGACTTAAGTACAGTAATACCTCAACTTATGCGAACCCGGAGTTACGCAATTTTCAAATCTCGTTGATTCATCTTTTGTTTGAGTGCCACGCAACTCTTGATTATTCACCCCCCCACACTATTGTTCAGCTTACATGTTCAGATGTGTCGCGCAGAATCGACACATAGCTACAATTTATTTTGTGTTATTTATTTTTGTGTTTGTTATCTCAATGGAGCCTTGAAAGACTCTATGTGGTAATTTCTTGTAACCGTGAACGAATCAAAAGACGAGATAAGATTAACAAGAACATTTATTAGCTTACATACATCCGAGTTGGATTTTACACGAATTGCGAAATTATACCCCGACTTACGCGAATTCGACTTACACGGTCATTGCTCGGTCCCACCTATCGCGTAAGTTCGGGGTATCACTGTATATGTATATGAATATAAATATGTATAACAACAATGGGTGTGTCTAGATCAGAACAAACTTTTTAAGGAAAGGACCAAACATTAAAAAAAATCAGGTTTGGTGAGCCAGGTTGCAAATTTAAATAGATATATTTTTTTAATAGGTATAGTACTTCTACTCAAAGCAAATGCAATTTGATAACACTATAACCCTTAAGACAGTGGTGTCATCTGGGATAAGACTGGCTGCACCATCTCCATTTGATTTACTTTCAATTTTTCCATTGTAAATATAATACAATATTAACCCACAGGCCAGATTTGGCCCTCAGGCCATAGTTTGCCGAATCCTGGTCTAAATGATAAGCAGCTAAGTAAGCAAACTAATGACATGGTCCATTTCATACAAAATAGATAAAATAGACTATGTCATCAGTCTTTCAACCCAACTTTATCTCTCAATTGAAGCAGTCAAAAGAAAAGTTAATGAAAGTTTGATGATAAAAAAATAGACAGACAAATAACACCTTATTTTGCCAAGAAATATATTTATTTCAAAAACAAACATTTCAGCCTGATTTACAGGCCATCCTCAGGTTTAGAACGAAATTGGAACTAAAGCATTCCATTAATAGAATACAAAATTCAAATTAAAAAATTAAATAACCAACAGAATAATATAAAAATAAAATAAAAAATATGTACATAGAAGTATTAAGAAATACTGATACTAACAAACAACATAACACCTCTAATAAAATTGCTATTTTAACTTGATAAAGTTCTTAGCAAATTTTTAACCATAAACTTCCATGCAGAGGGAAGACTGTCAGCATCCCTCGCATTCAAACAGCCTTCGTGTAGTTTACCCCTATAAATCTGAATCTTTTCAGCGGTCATTGCCAAAGGTGAGGAAGATAAAGGTTTGATGATGGCTGCCTCATTACATCTGACTATAGAGCCTTGTGTTTGCACCATTTGGGACAAAATTGTTGCATTAGACCCCTTTCTGATATTATAACTATGTTCTTTGAGTCTAAGTCCCAAACTCCTGGTGGTTACTCCAATATAATCTTTTTTAATATCCAATTGCATATTCTCGTATGGAATTCTATAAACTCCTGCTTTCTCCTCTGACTTTATATTATCTTTATCATTTCTCAGGATTTTGTATAAATTTGGGGCCCTCTTTATAAGCATCCTCAAACCTTCAGCAACCACTTTCTTAATGCTATTCATACTTTCATTATAGGTAAATTTCATGACTCCATGACTTTTTCATGACAAAATTTCATGACTTTTAGATGACCTTTTCTTGATGTTCGTCTCATACTTCTTAACCATTCCTAGAATTGTGCTTTTTTGGTAACCCAGAGTCTGGGCCACATTCATTATTCTATCTATTTCTTTAATCCTGTCTTGGATTCTGTCAAAATACAAAACACTTCCATACAAACAAGCCAAATATTCATTAGGCAAAGAATTTTTCAAGGAGATTCTTTGAGTCCGCTTTGGTTCTGCGTAGCCCTGAACCCATTATCCAACATGTTAAACAACACGCAATATGGTTACAATATCAGACATGAAAAAACAACACAGTTTACACTGTCACATCTCATGTACTGTACATAGACAACATAAAACTTTATGCATCCACACAAAAACAACTTCATCAACTCCTACAAATCACACATTCATACATCAAGGACCATTATTATTATTATTATTATTGTGTTTAGTGGGTTATACTTGGTACACACCGATGGCTGTGTACTATGCCAACTTCAAGTTAACTAGATTTCATTGTATTATTTTATTGTATTAATCCAAAATTAGCTATTCAGTTAACTTTTAAAATTAAAAATATTTTGAAAATATTTGCATTAACAGGAACATTAATATGAATAATTTTTACATAAAATTCTTTATGATATATAGAATTATTATATAATTAATCAATTAATATTAGATATATATTACGCATCTAATTTTAACTGATAACACAACTAAAATACAGCTTATCAATACCTCAAAATTTATTGAAAAATAAATATTTTCAAATCTTTCAAGTTCATTTTCAAGAATGACTTTTAATTTGTTCAGCTGATGATAAATTTTGTAAATGGAGTCAGAAATGGACATAACAATTTTATATTTTATTCTTTCATAATAACAACTAATATAATTTTTACAATAATTTTAAAAATAATAAAAAGTTATTTAAAAATACATCTTAAATAATAATTTAATGAATTTTACCACTTAAAATTAAATATGAAAAACTATAAATAAATAAATCTAGTAATATTTTTCCTATTAAAAATTTCATATTACTTATCAAAACTATCTTAGTGCTGAATTTTGAAAATTAATAACACTGTCAGTTTTCCTAAATGTTTTAAATTATCATGAAAGATGTCCTAAAATACAAAATCAGTTATCCTGATTTTAACAATCATGAAAATGGGATTAAAGTCATATATGTTATAATCTAACAATTAACTTCAACTTAATGAAAAGAAAAAAAAATAATTATTGACATCACTACAAACTTATTTTCCTATTTAGTTATTAACCTGTATTAATTTATTTTTAAAATGTTTTGTTTTAAACCAGAAATTTGTTACTGTTTAAAAAGTAATATGGAGTAGTTTGAAATTTATAATTCAATCTAAACATGGAGATTATTAACTTTAAAACATTCAGGACATAAATATTTAATTACTTTTGTACTTTAATATTCTTTTATTGTTACTTTACAACTTATACAGCTAACTATAGCAATTTATTGTAATTATATTTTAACATTTATGTATGCTTTTTATTAACTTATTCTGTCTGTTTGTTTGTCCAGATAAAATTTTTTAACTCAATTTTCACCCATTTCCAAATTTCCAATCTAGTTAAAATGTTGTATCCATATGTATTCCCAATGACAATACATTTGCTGAGTTTAAAAATAGTTTTAGTAATTAGCAAAAAATTAATAAAAAATTAAAATTACTAAATAACAGAGCTGATCACAATCTGATAACAGATGACATTGTACATAGCTAAATAAATTGTGAGTGCCTTTAAATCATGAAAAAGTAGCAAGTCCTTTTCAGTCGTATTGTCTAGATAAAATCTCGTAACTTAATTTTAACCCACTCCCCAATTAAATGCTAAACCAAGAATAATTTTGATAATTCAGTGTTCTTTATATAAGAAAGTAGAAAATAATAAATAATCATTTTAAGAAATGTTTTTTTTTTTATTCCAGCTTCCACAGTATTCTTGGTATTAAGCAATAAAAAATAAATAAAAGCATAGAACACTCATACAAAACCCATAAAAATTGATAGAAACTGTAACTAAGAATATTTCTAAACATGAGTGTCCCATGCTTTTATTTCTGGTTGTATAATACCAAGAATATTGTAAAAGATGAAAAAATTTATTTTTTATCTTTTACTGCAATTATTTGAATAAAAAGCATTTCTTTAATTTTTTTTACTTTCTGTTCAATATAGTATGATCAAATTCCATTAGAGTTTAATCCTAGTTTTAACTTTGAAAAAACTTCTAACTTATTCAGAACTAAATTTAATTTCTTAATAAAGAAAACAATCAGCATTCTTATTACGAAGAAAAACAATTTTTAAGCCAAATGTTTAGTCATTTTCCTTGCAATATGTTTGAAACAGAATAAAAACTTTATTACTTTTATTTTTTCTTAACATAATTTATAATTTCATTATAAAATTTTAAAAATTTTATAGTAAAACTTAAAATCTGCAAATGACTACAAACATTTTGTATTTTTGACATATAATTAAAGTGAAAAAAATTATTATTATGTCCACATTATAGTAAATTATAAAAATAAATGATGTGAATGACAGTATAAAATAACAATAAAAATACATAAATGGGCTTTAAATGGTTCTGTTTATTAATATTTTATTTCTTATTTATTAAAGTTTATAGTATTGGTATAATTAGATTAATTTGTATATATTTATTTGTATATATATATATAAAGTATTTTGTTATTACATTTATATATATATATATAATAAGACATTCAATGTATATAAGTATAAATCAAATCATAAATCTACATACCTCAATATAATGACAAATATCTTTAAAAATCTGTTCTTCTGAAATTCGAAAATGTGGGTCATCATCATTTGGATGTGAACATGTGTGTATAATACCATTCATATCAAGATAGAAATTGTCAAATTCAGGGATCTAAATCAATAAAAATAGTTTTGTATTTAAAGATAAGTAACTTAATATAAAAAATACATTTATTTATTAAAACAAGAATTTTAAACAGCATAATAATAGAAAATACAATAATATTAAACATAATGGAAGTGATATTATATCAGAAATAAATTAATTTTTACTTTTAACTTAAAATACTCTGAAGGAAAAGAAAATAGTCTAAGACTATTCTAATGTTCTTAATTATAATTAATTTATTTTTAATTATTAAATTTATGATGAGATGGCAGCTTAACTGCCTACCTCTAGCCAAAGCGACATTACATGTTTAATGACATACATTAATTGATCTAAATACTGTATTCAAGATAATATCTATAATAAATTATCATTATATTGTGTCAATTCTTAATTCTTTTTTGCAAAGAATTAAGTGTGTCTACAAAAGATGAAGATGCTTTTAATATTTTGAATAACTATCTTGATAAATGGCAGTTAACATGGAAGTCGTGTGTAGGCATTTGTACAGATGGTCCTCCTTCCATGGTAGACTGTATTAAGGGTCATACATCTTTTGTAAAAAAACAAAATGAGAATGTTATCATAACTCACTGCTTTCTTCATAGGGAGGCCTTTATGGCAAAAACATTGGGAGAAAAATTAAGAGAAGTTTAGATCAAGTTGTTCAAATAGTAAACTTTATTAAAAAACTTTATTAAAACAAGACCTGTCAAATTGCATTTATTCGAAAAGCTTTGTATCGATATGAATTCACAACACAGATGGCTGCTTTTATACATTGAGATGAGGTGGTTGTCAAGGGAAAAAGTACTTACCCATGTATATGAGCTACAGTGGAACCCCGGTTAACGAACGTCCTGGTTAACGACCAAATCGGTTAACAAACTTTTATTTTGCAAAAATTTTGTCTCGGATAATGAACAAAATTTGGATAACGAATGTAACGGTATTTTGTGTCAAATTTTAGTTGGTGTTAGGCATGCGCGAGTTAAGCATTGCTTTTCCGAGTGTTTGTGCTATACTTCTTTTTTTCAGTTTTGTGATTTATATATTTAATCAATATGGCATCCAAGAAAAAAAAGTCATAGTGGCAATAGAAAACGACAACGCGCTATCGCATTTGAGAACGATTTTGCTTAAAAGAGTAAGACAATCAACTTTAGATCAATTTCTTGTTCCTTATGGAAAGAGTTTGTTTGTTTGTTTAAGTTATGGCAACGCAACACTTGGGCGATCTACCTAGGGGGAATGCATTCTGGGAGGTGTTTTTAAGGGAAACTGGCCCCTATTTAGGCATTACAGACGAGGAAAAAACCCAGAAACCTCCCTGTGGCCAGCCTGTCTAAGCGAGGTGCGAACCCACAAACGAACTCCCCGTGTTCAAGGTACGAAGACCACTTAGCCGCTGCTGGGTTTTTTTTTTACCAAAAGAGACTTTGACTCAAAGAATCTGACGATGGAGTGCTACCTGTTATTTTTTTGGAGGGGATTCCCCTTCTAAGCATTAAGGTTCGTATATCTCCACTTTTCTGCCACCAACTACAACAAATGAAGGTATGTACAGTGCTATTTTATTAAACAAAGTTTACATGTTTGTTGCTGTAATGATAGATACTATGTTTTTCTACATTTTCATCAAAGAAAATTACTGTATATTACAAATAAAATCTCAAAAATTTCAGACTAGAACGGATTAATTGCATTTGCATTAATTCTGTGGGAAAAATTGCTTCGGTTAACGAACAATTCAGTCAACGAATGGAGTTGCGGAATGGATTAAGTTCATTAACCGGGGTTCCACTATACAAGAACTTTTTGTATTTTTTGGAGAGATGAAACAGTTACATTTTTGTAACCTCCTTCAGTGCAAATTTTGGATTGCCAGGTTATAGTATTTGGCTGATATATTTCAGCAGCTCAATATTTTGAATACTAGCATGCAAGGGAAAGAAGAAAATATTCTCACATCCATTGACAAAATGAAAGCATTTCAGAGAAAACTATAGATTTGGAAAAGAAAACTGTTGAAGGTAGTTTGGAAATGTTTCCACTGGTAAATAACACTTGCATAAATGAAACACTTCCAATAATAGTTGAAAATTTAATAAGTTTAGAAGAAAAATTGGATTCTTATTTTTTATCACTTAACACTAAACAATACAATTGGATTAGAAACCCATTCACGGAAGCTTCAAATGATTTTGGTTTAACATTAACAGAAGAAGAACTGGCAGCTATATCCACTGATCGTGAATTAATGATTAAACATAAAGAATTGTCTCTTGGACTTCTATGAAAGAAGAATATATGGCAATATCTAAAAAAGTTTTGAACATTTTACTACAATTTTCAACATCCTATTTATGTGAATTAGGATTTTCTACCCTCAACATAATTAAGAGTAAAAAGAGAGGAATTCTTCAATGTATTGATGAGGAAATGAGAGTTTGCCTTTCAAATATATGCCCAAACATTGAAGAAATTCCTTGGACACATCAGACTCATGTTTCTCATAAACACAAGAATGAAAAAACTTAACACATTTGTGCCAGGACCTACCGAATTTACTAAATCTTACTAAGAATCAGTGGCATGCGGTGACATTTGATGATAGGGAAGTTGTGCTGGCCCTGAATAGAATCATTGGAAGCATTATGATATTTTGGTGTGTAGCATCCACGAGCTAATTTGCCAGAGGTTGGTGCTCTGTAAGGCGAATGAGTGCAATCTGGCTGCTTTACACAATTCAGATATTTTTGCTATGGAAGTTGTCCCGTATTCAACATTACAGCATTTCTATTGGGAATATGCATATACAAATTTATATTCGAATATAAAATAGCAATCTTATCATTGTTTTTCACATGTATAGAAATTTGTAATAAAATACATAATGCGGTTATAATAAAATATTAATTTTAATTAATTCAAAGTACATTAAAATAATAAAATAATCGCACAATATGTATTTATATTTTAGAAAATACAAGAGAAGTGGTGCTTCCAAAGCTTCCATGGATGGCACACCACCGCTAAGAATGTATCTATATACATAAAAATAACTTTTTTATTGTTTTTTTATTTTTTAACCCGTCTTTTTTACAAATTCTATAAAGCATAACTCAAAAAATGTAACATAAAAGTTTTTTTAATGTCAGAATAAATTTAATTTTGTTATATTTATTTCATTTAATTACCATAAAAGCATGCTTGGACTTTATATTTTTTTCTTTAATATTTGACTTAATTATTATAACATATTTCTCAGAAATTGTATACAGTGTGCCTACAATTATTTGCAGGATTTTAAATGCACTCCAACTTCAAAAAGTTTGAGAACTACTGGATTAGACTGTTGACTAATAGGAAGTGTTATTATACGAACTGAACAAGTGTATAGGGCCTAATTGCTATAGATACACCGACTAATCAACAACAAACTGCCAAGGAATTAAAACATATTACTGCTATCACCAATATTGATTACTCCATAACAAAATTTAAATAACTAAATCATAGGATATTGTGCTCTCTCCTGTTTCCACTATGTGTGATAAGAGGCAGATGGAGTGTCTGGCATAACAATTCCTTGGGCAATATATCTTTAGAAATTACACCCTTGCTCAGTTCATACAATTACATTCTTCCTATCAGTCCACAACCTAATCTATGGAGATTATTTTGTAATGACAGACCCATATATGGCACTGGAGAGTAAAAAATTTTTATATACTCACATTCAACGCCAAATATAATATAAGGAATAAATTAAACTGTCTTTTGGCATTAGATTTATTTACTTAATTCATCAAGTAAATAAATCTAACACCAAAAGACAGTATCATTTCTTCCTTATGGCACTGGAGAGGTTGGGCATATAGATTCTCAAATATAGCATCTTAGGCATTCTAACATACTATATAGGGGCAACTATCAAAATGTTATTTCATTGTCTCAAAGAACACCAAAGAAATATATTTCAGCAAGGATACCATCATACTAAGTCAGTGTCTCCTTTAATCTTCTTTGGACTGAAACTCAACTAATTTATATTTGTAAGGACAATAAACTGATTTATAAATGATTTCAAATTTCATTTTGAATAATCAAATGCTCAGCCAGTATGAATATAGGGTCATTACAGCCATACATTTGTACTACCTGAGCACTGAGTGTCATTCTACAAGATACTGTCTTAACTTCTGATTATTAACTATCTTTCTGAGTATTTCCCATTTTAATTTTTTTATATTATATTTCCTATTTTATCCAGATATTTTTTATTGTAAATATTTTAAATCTTATTTACTTATGGCATAAATATTTCATATTTGCATTGTAAATAATATTTATAACTTATATTATTATTTACATATATTATGTGTAATGCAAGTCCTGTTATAGTTTATGTCAGTATTACCATATTTTCACAGAATGACAGGCATGCCAATTAAACTGCAAACTAAAATATAAAATTAATCAGATCTAACAAAACTAGTTGTTAATTAACTGTTAAAGAAAACATTCTTCCCAGTACAAAAAATAACAACATTGTAATTTGACCAACAAAATCAGAAAGAGTTTTCGTTTGTGTGGGCTACACTGACCATCTACCCTGACTTTAAAAATAATACCTTCTTCTCAAATTTCAACAAAGACAATGTTAATAAGTGTAAGCTGAGATAATTTACAGGAAGTTTCTTAAATTTAATATGTTTATTTTTACATTTTTGAATTAAATAACAATAAAGTACCCATAAAAAAAAGCACTTTCAGAATTCTATGAATATTTTATGTCGTTAAAAAGACAAAATGAAGAAATTAAACACATAATCATAGTTTTATAATAATAACTTGTTCATTTTACATGACGTAACTCGTTTGTTTTTTAATGCATCCTCTAGAGAAAGATATATAACCTCACTTAAACCGGCATGCTGGCTTTTACCATGAGGAAATGTCTGATTTCATGGTCTCTCCAGATAGACCAGCATGCCGAT